GTGGTGTAGAACAAAATTATCTATGTAGAAATACTGCTTGCAAACCAATGATGGTAAGATGATGTCATGGGGTAGGACTAGATAAGTCTGACTTCTTCCTACTCCGTTCAAGCATGTACTAGGTATAAGCAAATTGATAATGCATTTGTAGATATGTGTGAAATTATGTGTGTTGACATATTGACTGTTTACATGTTTGCAAGAATAAATCAAATCAAAATCAAATATTCAGTGTTAGTAAGAAAAATCTATGCTCAATGCTAACACCAGCATGCTCACAACGACAATGCTAACATGCTAATGTTTCATTTAAGCACAAGGCACAGCTAAGACTAATGGCAATGTCAATTTTGGATGCATTTGCTCAAAAAAACAAAGAACTGGATGAATTAAATATTAAACCTGATGAGGTCAGAAGAAAAGTTAGAGTAGTCAAGTTGTACAATGTAATCTGAGTGTCTGGACATAATAGTTTGTGATCTTCTAGAAATTGGAAGATTTTTATCTGCTAGTTAAACTAGATAAAAGGTCAAATAATCAACACCTTTAGGCACCTTGAGCGTTTGTACTAAATTTCATGGCGATCCATCTGGTATTTGTTGAGATATTTCAGTGGAACACCGACTGACCTTGCTATCCCCACAGCCATACTGCTAGCGTAGCTAAAAAAAAACCCCAGTGATCTGAGATATGTTGGCATGTTGGGGTAATACTAGTGCCTTAACAAAACCTCGACTGAATCCGTAAATCTGGGATGTCTTAACACCCCTGATGGTCTGGTTGCTACAGTTCTGCTGGGGTGTAAACAGTCATCAGACCTGTAGAAAGGACTATGCTTCATCCAATAACAGTGAAGCTGACTGTGCAGCGGCAGCAGGGGACTAAACTGGTGCAAAGTGTCTCAGTGTTGGGACACAAATAGCAGGCTGGGGCTGCAGCCGCTGTTACACAAACAAACATATTCCCCTGAAAATCCAACTGTTTCTGAAATAGAAGCAACACATGAGCACAAATTGCACCATATTCCCTGCTGATGTTGCAGCCTGGGGACAGGAGCTGACGCTTTACCCTCTGGGGACTGGTTGTAGGCAGATCCAGGTTCATCCGAGGCCGCACTGGTCCCAGGCTGGGGCTCCATGTTAACGCTGTTCACATTCTAGAAAAGACAGGAAAACCCCAGGCTGTCTTTACTCTGAGTAAACCAAGCTTCACAGTACTTTGCTACCTTTAATGCTTACACAGCAGTGTATCAAATCTCAAAACTTCAATACGTGCCAGCAGTAGTGAGTATTGATCAGAGTCATGTATTCAAATTTGGCATCAAATGTGTGGTCATAATAACCATATTCTTGATTAATTCTCTCATCCGGTAGTTCCAGATTTCTATCAAAGTGTTGCTAATTTTAGACTGTAGTTCATTTGTTTAGACGGCTTCAGTCTAGTATCATAACTGCACTCATACCAAAAAAGTAAAAACCCTGCGTGGCTCACATTTTCAGCTTACTACTGCGTGGCATGTCAAATTCAGATTTTATAAGTGATAAATACAAAAGAGAAAACACTTTCTAACACTGCTAACATGATCATTTTCAACTAAATTACAGACAAATCACTGACTAGCCAGCCGGGCTCCGAGTCACATTGAATATATAATTATCCGCTATTCTTATAACACTTCCAAAGACTATATTTTAAAATATGGAAGCCAGTTATTACAATTATTTTAAAATGAATAGCTATTTGTTTTAAAAATATATTTAATGTAAGCATTTACTCTTTTTATGATGTCACCTGTGCTCCTACCTTTTTCTAACTGATGATGAACTGATAATAAAAGTGGCTTTTTGCTCACGTTTAATTTGATTCAATAGAATTTGATAAAGTGTAAGAAAGGCTTACAGGTGGTTGCCACACTGAACAAGAGGTCCACCTGCCTGGCGGCCATGTTACTATGGGCCAGTAACCCCTTTTAACTTGAGAACCTCAAATTAAGAGAGCCCTTCCTCTCACAGGTGAGCGTGGCTGCAAAATGCACCTGAAACGTGACTTTGTGGTCGTTAAATGACACGTAGACGCTTCAAATAGCCAACACTCCACATGCTTAAAAAATAACTATGTTATTTCCGTTTATATAGATCACCCCAACCTCCGTATTTTTCCCCCATGACCCATAAACGAGGCCCGATCCCAAGGTTAACATCCACTGATACAGGTCGTCTGTGTTTCTGATGTAAATGTTGTAACTGTTGTGTCTGGAAGCCAAAGCCAATGTAAAGATGTTTGACTTTACAGTAAGGTTTGGCACTGCACGCTCAGCGTTTGAGGAACGATGACGCGTCCCTTTCATGCTTTTGGACACTTTTCTCCAACATCAAGAAGACGCCAGCTCTCCAAAATGGGATACCACTGACAAAACAACCTGTTACTTTTTTCAAATTTACACGGTCCAATCTCTCATATACCTGCTTTAAAACTAGTTGGCCTATAAAAACTTGCATGCAGTTAAAACCCGCCCTCACACGCATTTTGTGAGCCACACTCTTACACATATGAACATTAATTGGGATGCTGCCGAGTCCTTACCTTCACCATTGTTCGTGTTTCACCTACACACCACACCTGGCAGAGAAACTTCACACTGGAACAGCTTGTTTCAGCCTCCGAGCCAGACTTTGCTGTAATTTAATCACTCTGTGTGGGTGAGACCTGCTGTTCACGGCTTTTCCTCCTCGCGTTTCACGTCTTTATCGCATTAACGTGTGGCTTTCTAACTTTACAGGCGCAGCTACGCAGGTCTCTTTTCACCCTGCTGATTCTGCCAACGTGGCGTCTTCCACATACACATATACAGATACGCATACAGTCAAACTACACACAGCAACGCACTGGACTTCCGCTCAGAACCTTCAAATTAAAACCCTCACTGGTCGGGAGATGGACAACCTCGATTTTGGGGCTACTGCGAAGCGCAGTGGTTGAAGAAGTACTCAGCACCGTGTCCACGTCCACAAAATATCCTGCATACAGATGTTTTTGTTGGCATGTTAGGAACTATTTTAGCACTTACCAAGAAGGAAAAACTGAACTGTAAGGTGTTTTGTGACTAGCTAGGCTAATGCTCCTATACTGTAATGTGAAAACCTGAAATGTTTACAAACAAATTGAAATATCGCTGTTTTAGATTTTGATGGCAGTGAATTTTGTGGAGATTTTGTAAACTGATAACTCTTGGAGGACCGTGCTATTCTTCATTGTTTATTTGGAAAGCATAAACTTTTGTCTAATTTAGAGGCCCACGCTTTGTAGAGCAAGATAACTGTTTAATTCACGTGATCTATTTAAATCAATGCATGTAGCATTATTTCTGTGTTTAGCTTTGGCAGTTTTATTTGCATGTAACCACTTTATTGTTTAATCTGTTTAGTGGCTGGTGTTTGATTCCAGAGTAAAAATAATGTCACACTGAGTCTTTTCATATTTTCTGTAACGCAGCTCAAGCTTTTTTTTTTTTGGGAGGGGGGGGCTTTATTGTGAAGACAGGAAGTCGCTTGTGGCCGTCGCTGCAGTTCCAGCTCCGGATCCAACCCCGGATTCTGCATCATCACCAGTTAAAACTACTTGTTTAGGTGTGCACTGTCTCTGTGTGACTATATAGTTAGTGTTTTTAATATAACTCACATATAAACTGAGATGTGCACAGGGGCGTTGCTAGACATAAAGCTCTATTGGGGCACAGGACTCTCATAACTCAAATCACACTTTTTTTATGTTTATTGCTTGAACCACTACTCCGTTGCCTGTTGCTACTACAACAACCACTGGTAAAGGTAAAAATGTAGATATGAATTCATCCATCCACCCAGTATCTTATCTATACCACTTATTCCTGAATAGGGTCACAGGGGGCTGGAGCCAGTCCCAGCTGACATTGTCCACTCTGGACAGGTCGCCAGTCTATCACAGAGCTGACATGTAGACAAACAACCACACACTCACTCCTACAGGCAATTTAGAGTTGCCAATCAAGATATTAAACTTTATGAAAATATTTATCTCAACATACATTAAGAAAATGATCAACACGCTTTTATGGTGTAAAGATCTGGCCATGTATTGCACATTTCTTTGCATTCTTCTGCATTTCACAGTAACAACTAATTTGTCTGTCAAGCAGCCTGTTTGTCTATCAACAAATCATGAATAAAAAAAAATCTAATCATGTTTTGTAACTCCTAAAGTTACAAAACATGATTAGATTTTTTATGTATGTAACTCAAAGTTACAAAACATATTAATTACTTGTATTGTATTGTGCAATTGATAGCTGGCGGTGACACACCTGTCTGCACTGACATCCTTCTCTACACTTTGCCTTCCTGCCTCAGGTTCACTTGTTTGTTATATGTCTGTAAAGCAAACATTATTTGAACTATCTGACAAGAGCATCAGATATGTTGTAGGCTATTCATTAAATGCAGAATGAATAGTCCAATGTTAACATAAAATTAGGTACACCTGCACAATTGTATGCACTTCAATGCAACACTTCAGCCTTAACATCTGTGTTTATGAAGCTTAAAATGATTCAATTTTTGGTGAAACTGTGATAAATGTATAAATTCAAATTTATGTTTATTAATGAGGTTCTAGCTAAAGGTGGCGTTGTACCAGACTACATTATATTCAGAGATGTTCCTAATATTCTGACCCTTTCATGTATGTAGCTGGGGAGGACAAAAATATAAAGACACCTCTAAATATAATATAGTCCAGTACAACAGCACCTTTAACTATCAATAATAAACATATAATTGAATGCATACATTTGACAATTTCACCAACAACTGAAACATGTTGAGCTTCATAAACACAGATGTTAACATTTTGTTGTTCACAAGATGAAATGCAACCTAATTAGACTTCCAGTCAGATGGAAGCTGGGTGGAGCTCTGCTAGTAATTAACTGTAGAGCTGAAACAACTAGTTAATAGCTATGCACTCACCAAAAACAAAATCAACCAATCCGGGTTTACTTCCGCGTTGTGCGGCCCAATGCACATGCGCATTTGTGTCGTTCTGGTCACAGTCGTGCAAGTGTGAGCGAGTTTAGCGCGTTCTGGACACGGAACAGCGCGTTCAAGTAGCTGATTCATCAACTGTTACCTTTCTGAAAAACGATGGACGTGGCATCTTTTTATACACTTAAGTTTGTATTGCTCTAACATTAGTTTTGCTGATCGGTAGTAGGCTACTGATAATTTTGGATAGTAGTGATGGGTAGGTGAGGCGTCATGATGCGTTTCGACACATTGCCAAACTGTATTGATACTGTGTCGATACTGTGTCACTGAATACTGACACCTGCTGGACCTTAAAAATCCCTACAGGCAACCTAGTTGACAGACTCAACTCACACTGATTTGATGACCTAGTACAGGCCCGGTCCTAACCAATTTGGCGCCCTAGGCAAGATTTCAGGTGGTGCCCCGTTGTATCGCAGTAAATTCCACTGCTAGTGTATATACTCATAAGAAACGTAATAGCTTTGTCTTGGACATTCTTTTATTTAAATAAAGCAATTGCACATTCAAAATACTTAGAAAGAATTAAAGAAACGAATAGAAAAAAATGAACTCAACATATGAAATACAATATAAATAGCTTACATAAAGTACCTATTAATACTCCCAAAATAAAAAGTGTAAACAAGTGACATTAACTTAAAAATACAATATAAATACGGCACTGTGCAAAATAAGATATTAAAGAAACGAGTAGGCACAAAAAAATACAAGGATTTAAATAAAAATAAAAAGATGATCTTACAAAGACCTCTAGTGGTGTTTTTGGTACTGC